AACCTCTCAGTATGAGGGGTTATAGAGAGAGAGAGAGAGAGAGAGAGAGAGAGAGGGAGAATGAATGTCTTTTGGGCAGAGTCTGATTTCCACTTTGGGCTTGGCTCGTGGGCCTGACTTGGTGGCTTTCGATGCCGCTCACTCATCCCCTGGGTTTCTGACCCCAGTGGCTACTCTTAAGCAGCCGCGCTTCATCCAGAAGGGGAAGCAGGATCGTGAGTCGACTTCTGGGCTTCGGTTCCCTGCGGATCCCTCCCCCCCTCGCATCCGTGCTCCCTGCAGAGCGGCGTTCACTCTCGCCCTCTCTGTCCCAGGTGAACCGGGAATGCGTGCGGGGCCTCTGGGCCGGGCAGCAGCAGGAGCTGGTGTTCCTCCGGAACCGGAACCCCGAGCGGGGCAGCATCCAGAACGCCAAGCAGGCCCTGCGCAACATGATCAACTCCTCGTGCGACCAGCCCATCGGCTACCCCATCTACGTCTCGCCCCTGACCACGTCCTATGCCGGCAGCCACCCCCAGCTCCGATCACTGTGGGGAGGGCCGGTCAGCCTGCACAACATCTCCGCCTGGTTCATCCGGAGCTGGGAGAGGTGAGCAGGGCTTCCCTGCGGCCATCGGGGAAGCGGCGTCGCCTCCGAGCAGCGTGGGTTTTGGCTCCCAGGAGCCTTTGCCTGCCCCGGCCCGCAGCCGGGAATCCTGGGAGCTGAGCTCTCAAATGCGGAGACCGACTGCCAGCGACCCCTTTGGGAGCCCAGGAGCAGAGAGCCCCTGTGGCGTGATGGGCCTGGGCCGGGGGGAGCCAAGCGGCTGGCCTGCACTTGGCTGGAGCGCGCTGGGTGCTGCTGGGCCGGCCGCTGGCTCTCCACCCGCCCTGAGCCCGGCCTTCCTTCTTGCCCCTGGCTCCAGAACACCGTGTGCTTGGACGGCGCCGGCCTCCCCTGGCCCTCCGCCTCCCCTGGCCCTCCGCCTCCCCTGGCCCTCCGCCGCGCTGCCACAGCCCGCCTGGCTGCTTCACTCTCTCCCTTTCCTGGCAGGTTGCAGAAGGGCTGCGGGGCCGGGTGCAACAGCGGAGGGAACATTGAGGACTCGGACTGTGGCGGCGGCTCTTCCTCCCTCAGCAATAACCCTGCGGCACACGGGCCTCAGGTCCCCGGGAGCACCGCTCACAGTGTCGGACCGGCAGCTGCAAACCCCGCTGAGCCGGCGGTCACCACTGCCCAGCCTCAGGCAGGTGAGGCGGCCCCCCGACCCTGCCCGGCGCCGCTTGGGCCTGCCCCTCCCCCGTGCCGGGTCGTTCAGGGCTCCGATCTGCGGAAGGGAAGGGCCCAAGCCCTCCAGGCTGGGAGCCCAGTGTCGGCCTGCCTGGCCCAGGAGTGTCCGCACAGGCGGGCAGCAGCCGCTCCTGGGGGTTCTGACTGGGGGTTTTCCAGCTCTGACGGGCAGCTGGGCCCTTCTGCAAAGCGAAATTTTCCAATTTTCAAAAGTGCAAGGGTGTGCCAGGGAAGGGGTCTAACCCCCCCATATCCTGCTGCCAGGACCAGGTTGCAGAGGGCGAGGGAAATGATCCCTTGCCCTCCTCCCAGCTCCGCCAGCTGCAGCATCGGTGGGGACGTGCACTCTGTATGCGCTCCGTTCCCAGGCAGGCGGGTGTGACTGGCCGTGCGGTGTGCTTGCCTCTGCAGAACTCGACTCCGGGCTTCCTGCTCCAAACCAGAGCTGGCCGGTCCAGCCCCAGCCCGTGCCCTTGCCGAGCCAGAGCGAAGGACGGCCCCCGCCCGCCCCGGCGGCCTCCTGGCCCCCCGGCCCGCACTTCCTGGGAAGCCAGCTCTCCTGCGCCAGCTCCCTGGCCTCCGTCGCCGAGGGGGTCGGGCGGGCGCCCCTCCCGCTCCGCCCCGGGCTGGGAACGCCGGCTGCCTTCGCCTACGAGGGCCTCTGTGGGAAGTGGAGCCTGCCCGGCCGGAAGGGACTGAACGGGCTCGGCGGGAGCGAGAGCGACGTCCACCCCGGCACGCCCCCCCCCCAGCACGAAGGACGGCTCCGTGTCGTGCTCCGCGGTCGCCGGCCTGGGCACGCAGGGCATCGCCGGCAGCCCCAAGCCCGAGGTACGTGTCCCTGCCCTCCAGTGCGGTCTCTCTCCTGGGCCCCGGCGGCGAGCAGCTCCCGGCACCTCTGCTCGCTCTGCGCCCTGGCCTGCCTCCAGGGGGCAGGTCTTTTTCTTTGCATATTGCAGTATTGTGAGTGCCTGCCCCGAGTTCCCTTTGTGTGAAAAGCTGATACGAGCATTTAAAATAGGGAACAGTTAAGAAACAGTGGGAAACGGCTGCTATTTAGGGCAGGCAGTGCTTCAGTGCTTCTAAAATAATTCTTAATAATCCTCCTGTTTTGCTTATCTTCTTGTTACCGATGACTTAACAAGCTGATAATCTGGCCATATGTTTTTAATTCACGACCGCTTTCAGGAGTTCAGTTTTGAACCAAAAAAAAACGTAATTTACTGCCAGCAGGCCCTCTCTGCAGTGGCCCCCTTTCCCCAATTTGCCCTCCTGAATTGGGCGAGGCCTTTGTAATAGCCTTCCTCACCTCCTTCGGGGGGGCTGCCGGAGGAGGACCTCTGCAGAGAATCTTAAGGACTGGGCAGGTGTATATATGGAAGGAGGCGCTCCTTTTGGGATCCATCCCGTGATTCTTTAGGGCTCCGTACGCTGTCAGCACCCCAAACCGGGCCTGGACTTCCCGCCATGGCCGGTGGGCAGAGCAGCACGGGATGGTTGCGCCTGCCGGTTCACCCTGCTCAGTAGCCCGGCTGCTCTGTTTTGCACGAACTGAAGTCTCGCCTTTCAGCGTAGCCCCACGGAAAGCGCATTGCAGGAGGTTACCAGTGTGTGGGTCACTGTGGCGAGGCCCCGCCCAGCCAGGTGCTGGGCCAGCCTCTCCAACCTGGTGCCCCCCTTGCAGAGCCTCGGCCGGGGGAGTTTGGGAGTTGTAATTCAGCACATCTTCCGGGGGGGGGGGGGGGAGTGTTGCTTTAAGTGTACTGGTTTTAAGAGAGAAAATACAGGGATCAAAGTCTCAGCTGGCTCTTTTTCCCTCTCCCCCAACAGGCTCCCGCACCAGGCCCGGCCCCCGAGACCCGCGGCGACCTTGTCCCGTTGCCTCTGGAACTGTCACCACCCCCGCGAGGGAGCTGCCCCCTTCCTGAACTGACCCCCGTTGCGGCCGAGTGGGGACGGCAGCGGGAGGACGAGGAGAGTCCCGCTGCGGGGCAGCCCCTTCTGGAGCACCAGTACTGAGCGGGAGGGACTCCCTGCCCCATCATCCACGGGCTGGCCCCGTGAGACTCGTTTTGTGCCCCTTTTTGAGGGGATACACACCCTCTGGTTCATTTCCCCCTTTCTTCAGGACCATGGACAGCAATAAGGGACCGGGGGGGGGCTGCTCCTTCTTGCCTGCTGCAGCCTTTCGTCCCCCCGACCCCCGCCTGCAGGAGCAGGCTCAATCGTCTGGATGTGGCACGTGGGGGGGGGGAGATCTCCCTGTCCTCCCCCCTCCCCCCTCCCCAGGGACCCTCTTGGACACCGAGTTTGTATCGGTGGTGCGCAAGGGCAATTTTCTGCTGTCGCTGTTTCCTTGGGATTAATAATAATAACAATTTTTGTTTGCTTATTTTCTTCTTCGTTCTGCCCCTTTCTCTGGATCCTGGAGTTTTGGTTGCTCTAAAAATTAAATCGGGGGAGAAAGAAGCAGTGCGAGACGCTTGAAAGCCATGGGTTGCGACCGTGTGGGTGGACATGGTACTTAGGGCGAAGTGGTGTGTTGAAGGGTGAGGAGAAGAATTGGGGGTGGAAAGAGTTGGCCGGTTGGCTTGCGTGCGCCATTTCTGCTCCTAAGTCCTTCCAGTAATACATCAGATCCCTGTACCCCTTAATTCTGGGGCTGAGCGCCAAGAACCTCTGTCTCAGACTGAATCGGTTACCCTTCTCTTCGCAAATTCTAGCTTGAAACCCTACTAATAGGCTTCTGTCTTCCGCACAAGGCATACCTAGCTGCTGTTTCTTGATTTCTTCATCACTCATCTTTTAAACCGACCCAGAGTGACTTACTGCACAATAGAAAATGTGTTATGTGCCATCCATTCACTTCCAGCTCATGGCATAAGCTTTTCCTATGAATGAAAAGCCCTGCAGAATGTCGTACCTGAGACAGGTGGGCTCAGCTCTCCTAAATTCAAGGATGTGGTTTCCTTGATGGGGCCCCCATCTCTCGCTGAACCTTCCTTTTCATCTTCCGCCTTCACCTTCGCCTGCCAAGACGGGCTTCTCCAGGGAGTCTGTGCCCAGACTGGGACAGCCTGAAGCTCTCTTGGTTCGCCTCTAGGAAATCCCTTGTCTTGATTTCACCCAGGACCTGCTCGTTAGTCTTTCTGGCAGCCCAGGGCAGCCACAAATACAAAACACCTGGAAGCACTTTCCATTCAGAAGTCAAACGCAAAATGAAACATCCCTGCAGAAGAGAAGCGACTGCACAACGCAGCGGAGGAACCAAGCGAACTGGCTGCTTGGGACCGGCGGACCTGGCCCTGAAAAGAGAGCCAAGTTGATGCCAGGTGGGGTTTCCCTCCCTCGCTGGACTCCAGACCTTCCTTGGAAGGGGCTACATCGAAAGTTCAGTGCAGTGTACAGGTAGTTTTCAGAGGGAGAGGTGAAGAAACACGTATCTGAGGAAGGCGGTTTCTCTTTTATCCTAGATGGAGATTTAGGTCTCCTCTGTTGCTGGGATGGAAGGTCTTTTGGGGCCACGTGGAAATACCACCTTGGATAATGGCCTGGCCGGATGGGGCAGGTTCTTGGGGAAATCCTGTCCTGTCTTTTCCCATGAAAGCTTCCGCGCTCAGGGGAAATTCTGTCCCAAACCACCAAACCTGGCACGAGGCACCCCTGAAGAAAGCCGAGCTTGGCGATCGGTGCAGAGTGTGAGAGCTCAGCGGTGCTCACGATTCTTCTGAAAATCCATTCCCAGCTACTCCGAGCTCCCTCGGGCACGACTGCTGTACAGGCACATGGGTGCTGGATTGCCGCGATTGCGAAAGCAGGGGGTGTGGGGATTTACTGGCGGGCACCTGGCATCCTACCAGTAGAACGAGATTGTGTGGCCGCCGCCTCGGTTTGTATGTGCGACTGCTTGTTTGTAGCTTTCCAGGGTTTGTTTGTTCGTTCCATTTCTGTGCTGTCCTATAACCTAAAGGTGAGGTCGTTGCGCTGCTGTTTCGATATTTGTCACTCATGCTGAATTTCAAGGGGTTTTGACGTCTCCACGTGCCCTGCTTTTTCTGGGTAACATGGGAGGGAAGAGCGGAGCAGAGAAAGAGTCAACCTTTTCCCGGGCAACTTTGCGATACAATCGAGCGGTTGTAAAAATCATTTTCCTCGAAGAAAGCGCTTGGGGCAGCGCACGCGCGGCCGGGTGCCCGCGGGCGTTTCTTCCGCGCGGCGCTCTGCACATGGGCAGGCGCGGGCCGCGAGGGGGAGCCTCCCCCGCGCCCGCGTAGTGCGCCTTCCCGCGGAGCGTGACGCCGGCGAATGCGCTCCTTCCTCCCCAATTTGGGTCTCCCCGCCCCCGATCGCGCGGAGGGCGGCGCCAGCGCGGCGAGGCGGCGGCGGGCGAGCGGGCGGCGAGCGGCGAGCGGGCGGCACACGCGGAGCGGCGGCGTCCGGGCGGGC